CTGCCTACTTGTGATCGCTATCTCTCTGTCAAATAAATAAAATCTAAAAAAAAAAAAAAAATTAAAAATAAATAGATAAATAAATAAATAAGAGCTCTTGGATTACCGAACTGGGAAGGCAGGAAGTTCTAATGTTGCTCTCAGGCCTAGGATGTGGAGTACTCTGATTTCTGCTTGTTCAACTCCTCTTTCCAGTGCTGCTTGCTTTGTCCTGCATTTCTGTAATTCTTTCACTTTCATAACAGTTGGAGAATTGACTATGTGGCCCCTGGGGAAAAATTCTACAGATAGCCTTTCTGAAAAAAAAATTTTTTTTTTTAAATAAGTTCTAGGCCCATTGTGGGGCTCAGACTCCTAACCCTGAAACCAAGAGTTGCATGCTCAATCCACTGAGCCAGCCAGGCATCTGGCTTTCTGAATGTTAAGAGAGGACCTGAGATTTTGCATTCCTGAAGGGCTTGGGCTTGGTTACTGTCCTTCCTATCTCTCAGCCACCAAATTTAGTCATTGAAAGGTGCTGACCTTTGCTCCCCCTGCTGGCTGCATTAGTTTTCTCAATCATACTCATTAATTTATGAAGACCAAACATATTTATTGAAATCACTATTTGGTACCAGGCAGAGGAGAGGGGGTGATTTACAAAAGTATCATTCATTTCCCCCTTTTTTCCCTCCCCTCTCCACACCATCTTATTATCCTCACAAAGTATATTTAATTCTGAGCTCCTTGAAACCATAAAAATTTGTGAATGTGTATTTTTCTGGGAACGGGGTCCCTAGATTTCATAAACTTATCAAAGAGGTCTTCTGTAACTTAAGGTATTAACTTTAACTGATCCAGGTCAGACCTCTCATTTCTCTGATGAAGAAGCAGAGTCCCACAGAAAGGTAGGATTTGTATTAATGGCTGATCCAGATTATAATAAAGGGGTTTTGGAGTTTAGAGATATTTTCTCCTGTAGTGTATGAGTTCTTTGTAGTGACTGTGCTTTCACATTTTTATCTATGCCAGATAGGAAGATTCTTCCTGCCGGTCTCTTCCTGACATCACTTCTTTCTTCCTAAGACGTGTGTTCAGTTTCCTCTTTATAGCCAGTATTCGGTCTCATTGCATCTGGGTTATGCTCCACGGTACCTATGGCTTAGTCTTTCCTGAATTGTGCTTGAATCCAAGCAAACCTTGGGTAGTGTATAAAAACTATGCTTCCTTGTCAAATCGTTGAGTTAATTCTTTTCATTTGAGGTGGCAAATTGGAGCCCTCAACCCCAGAGGAGCTTTTCATTTTAAAGAAGTTGGCACAGAATCAGGGAGCAAAATACCTGCTTAGCTACGTGGACCTGGGAGTCGTATCTAGGAATTTTTCCTTCTAGTTTATACTGTTTTGGTTTTACTTTATAAATAGGGTTGAGGGAAGGGCATCTTGTTTCTTCTTGTTCAAAACCTATTGCCAAGCAGGGTACTACTTTTGGCATGGCCATAAAGATTTCTTTATAAGTGGAAAATGAAGAACTTTCTAGGAATCTCAACCGTATTCTTAGTTGTGCCCTTTCAGCTCTGTGAGTGGCATCCTCCAACTCCACAAAGCCTTCTTGGCTGTGTTCCCTGCCCCCACCCCCGTGAATTAAATAAAGTAACCTGTCTTAGCCCTCAAATACCCTGTCTGCCTGCTGCAAAGACTTAACCACCCCCACCCCCACCCTCTTCTGTTGGCATTCCATGATCTTATCCCAGAGTGCCCTTTTACTGTATACATTGTGAACTGACTTCATTCAGTGCTTTTTCAGAGCCCATCTCCCCTAGTTTGACTTAGAAGACACACAAATAGACAGCTTTTATCCAGAGCTGCCTTTTTAACATTTTTGCCGGCTATAATCCTGAGGAAGCCCTGCAGGTCATTCGAGGGCCCACAGGGGGCAGCACTAGGAATGACTTCCCCCTCTAGTCCCCTCCGTGCTGGGGGTGGGGTACTGGGAGATAATGTTTTTCACCAGGCTTCAGAAAGCCTCTGATTGAGATCAAAGACTCCTTTGCAGCAGGCTAGTTGCTTGTTCCGTGTTGTTTCAACTCTCCTGAGGAGCCCAGTCTCGTTTTCTTGATAATAAAAACATACAAGAAAATCAGTCTGAGCCACCCAACCTCCCACAAACCAGTCTGCCTACATTTCCAGGCACTATTAGCATTTGAGGTGAAGTTCTGTTATACACTCAGGCTGTGGCTCTCTGAAAGTCAGTGCATCACAGAACTTTGTCTCGAAAGCTTTCTAGCAGCTACACATTCGGGAGCGGGAGGGAAGAATAGACCTTTTAAATCCTTTGAAGGTGGCCCTAAGCTTGTAGGGTCTTTTTCAGTAATCAGCATTTAATGTGTTACAAGGTCAAGCCTAGTCCATTGTCCAGGAGACCCATTTCTCAATAGCTGGGAGTTATTTATAAACTTACCCTTTGCAAAAACTTAAGATGAAATTACATTATCAAAAACTTAAGATGAAATTACAAAACTTAAGATGAAATTACTGGGGCCTTTAAACTGGCTGGTTTTATGATAGGAGAGGAATTCTTGGCCTCCCCACTCCGGTGAGGTAAAGGCCCCTGGCTGAAGTGGAACCGGCAGTAGTCAGGAGGTGGCAGGAGAAGTAAAGGAGAAGCTGCCGGCTCCACCTGTCGCAGAGTGGAGAATTAAAGCAGCATTTAGACTCATGCCTAAATTCTTGGCTTTGTTTAGGGTGGTTTTATCCCTTTGGAAGTTTGAAATGACCAGCCTTTTTCTCTAGTGCCTTCTTACCTCTTTCAGAACTGTAGTAAATCAGATCGTTCTTCTGCCTGCCTGCCTGCCTGCCTGCCTTTCCCTGTCTTTTATCCTTCCCAGTAAGCTCCACTTCCTATTTGGGGGCCTTCCTTGATAGCCTCTTCTAGGAAGCCAGTGAGAAAAGCTAGGAGTGGAACCTAGGGATCTGTTTCTTTGCCAGCAGTTTTTAGGCACTTCTACCCTGTTGGCCACAAAGGGCATTGTTTCTCTCCTAGTTGGCTGTGGCTATAGGGTTTTTCTTTTCTTTGGGATCCATCCCATTCTTTCTAGGGATGCCAGACTCAATGGCTACAAGAACCAGTTACCTATGGCCAGATCAATGCCCAGTTTAAACCATTAGGAATCTCTCCAAGGTTCCTGTGAATGTGGAGAGAGGAACAGAGCCAAAGATTTCCAGGGAAAAGGTTGTAGGAAAAATGATCTCTTCTAAATTTCCTTCCCTGTGGGCTTCTTTTCCTCATTAAGGAAACTCATTCCCATGGATGCATCCCTTTTGGTGAGTTGAGGATCCAGGGGCTATAGAATTGTGCCTGCTTTATGGGAAGATCTTTCTGTGGGGTATAGAAGTTAGGAAAGCGTCTCTGTTTGTGACCTTTTAGATGATTTTCTAGGGGACTTCCCTCTGCTAGACACAGTTCCTTAGTTTGAGACAGAGTGTTTATTTCAGGGAGTAATGTGTATAGGGTGAGCATCTCTAACGAGTGTTTATCAGAGGAGAGATATGTTGGTAGTAAGATCACTCAGAATGGCCACACCAGAACGTCTTCCTGTATTTGGAAGTCCCATTATAAGAGGGTCCCTTAGATGCTTACTGCTTCAAGAAATTTTACTTTATCCTCAAACTTCATTAATTCTCATAATCATTTAACAAATACCGAAAGTTTAGTGTATATCACACAATCTTTAGGACACTTGGAATAAATCAGTGAACAAAACACAAAATTTGCTGTTCTCAAGAATTCAAGTGGGGGAAAGCTTACATTCTTCATCACCCTGTTGTCAAAAGACTGGGTTCCCTATACTCTCATTTTTAACTCCCTGAGGGTGGGGTTGGTTCTTTGCATGGAGCCATAAACCTCCTAAAACCTCATGGGACAGTTTACCTTTGTAGACGTTGCAATTTCTGGATCCTTGGCAATAATTCTTTTATCCTCACTCTTGGGTCTTTATTAAACTTATGCTTGGAGATTATATTTAGCCCCTGTGAGGACTGTGGGTTTCCTAAGTAAGGCCAGGAAACGGAGGCAGCAAAGCAACAGCCCTTTCTCATAGTACAAGGGAAGGATATCAATGGTAGGTAATGTTGATTAGAAATTCAGGGAATGTGAGGGACACCAACTGGCTCAATTGGTAGAACACGTGACTCTTAATCTTGGGGTTGTAAGTACCTTGGGTGTGGAGACTGCTAAAAAAAATATAAAAGAAAGAAAGAAAGAAATTCAAGGAATCTGAGCCTGCAGACACCTTCCATGTACATAACACTGCCTCCCTTTCCTTCCTCTTCGTCTCCTGGTTAGCTGGTTCCCTAGAAGTTGCAGGAGTAGAGGAGCTTCTGCAAAGTGATATGTTTTGCGGTTGTTTGAGTGTAACCATTAAGGCTGAGGCTGTGGTTCCATTATGAGAGCCATTATCCTCAAAATTTGATTTTGGGTAGTAAAAGAACACTCCCCTCCTGCTCATTATATCTAGGTTTGAGGCTTCTTAGATCCTCTTCTTACTGCTTCTTAACTACCCCCAAAATCAGATTGGTTTATGTCTTGTAAGTTAAGTGGTAGTGGTTGGGGGTGTAGTAGGATTGGGATCATAGGGGAAGTCTTGGAAGATGGATGTCTCACTGGGTTGCATTCAGAACTGGTATGTCTGTGTGCATGAGTGTGTGCACACGTATGCGTGCTCATTTCCTTCTGCCCAGTGTGTGGGTGGTTTAGGGAAGGCTTGCTTTATGCCTCTGCATTGCTACTGCATTGGGACTGCAGAAACTTCTAAGTACATTAGGGCATTCAACCCTATTTTCAGATAGCCTCGTGCAGTGCCTATTAATTAATCTGGTCACATTCCATACCTACCTGTGCATGGGAGACCAGGGAGGGAGAGTAATTTGGAAAATAACCGTAGCATAATATTTGGAAATAACAGCATGACCTACCTTGATTAAACCGTCTGTGTGTCTGGCTCAGAGTAACTGCTTCTCTGATGCTGCTTTGGAGTCCTTTGTTGAAATGCCCCCTCCCTCAATTCAGTTCATGCACCACTTGATCATTCTCAGTGTGAATTGCCTAAATCTAACCAGGTTGGGATAGGGGACATACAGAGGCACCTCTGTATCCCCTTGCAGCCCCAGCGGGATGAGGGGAAGGTATCTGGTTTGTCAATGCTGGCAGGAGCCTTCAGGACTGAAGGTTATGTTCGTATCTCTTCAGGAACCTTCCCTGTATACTGTCAAAGCCATCCTGATTCTGGACAATGATGGAGATCGACTTTTTGCCAAGGTGAGATTCCCTTTGCAATTCATTTAGGAGCAAGACAAAGACTTACTCTGAACTTTGGATCTAGGGACTGCTCCTATTATCTCATATTCTTGATACCATAATTTTGAGAATCCTTCCATTTTCCTGTGCCTACTCCAGATAAAACCCAAACTGCTTCTGTGTCTTAGTTGCCCTGCTTCCATACTTGCGTCCCACAGATTTTGACCTCCTTTGTTGTCAGCATCAGATCAGAGAAAAGCTTGGGGTCCTTGGTTTCTGAACAGTACAGTGCCTGAGTGTGAGAAGCAGATTGCCTGTGCCCATCACTCCTGTCCCTTTTCCTTCTGCCTTTTTGCCCTGCCTGGGCTTTTCCAGGGAATTCTCTTGTAGTTCCAGGGTTCCAGCCCTAGGTCTGCAGTCACCACCAAGCTTATTACCTCCTGACATCCCTGTGTGGTGTTTCTAACTTTGGATCTATTGAAAGAGAGGAGAAAGGACACCCCTCTCCTCTCCCTCCATATCCTCCCCCTCCTGTGGAAATTTTTTCTGTCCCTGGTGTATTAACTCCGGGCGAGCACAGCATAAATCAATCAGCAGGTAGAGATTAGTTTAGAATTCACCAGCTGTTCCTCCCTGTAATTGGATGTAACTATGCAGGACACCTTTTGAAACAGTTATCCAGTTACTAAATGCCAGACCTGTCATAGGTCTTCAGCTGACTGCGACGGATTAGCCCCTAAAGAGCAGAGCGATTTAGCAGCCTGTATCTCCACCCCGTGCCAGGGAGGGCTTGGGAGTGGGCTCAGCAATGTGCTAGATTGTCTCCTGCTTCTTGCAGTTTGCAGAAAAGAGCTAAGATGGAGGGATTGGGTAGGCTTTGCCTTGGTTTCTGCAGCCTTTCCCCATTCCTCAGCTTCATACTGTGAGTGAGGGTCTGAAAGAAGCATTCTGTGCTTCTAGTGCTTTTTGTGTTCCCTAGCACTGCTCCCTAACATGGGTAGCTCTTAGGGCGCACTTGATGAGCTTCATCTAGAGATTGCTATCCTGGAATGCAGACGGGGGCAGGGCTTCATCATAGAGCTTGCAGGCCTCTGCCCTATAGTCTTAGAAATGTGATGTGGGCATGCTTACGGCAAGGTCTTTAAAAGGGTTTTGGTTTTTTTGTTTCTTCTTCTTCTTCTTTTTTTTAATATTTGCTTACTTACCGGCCATTCCCTACCTCCATAGTTCTTCCTTCTTCATGTCAGTATTTTTCCCTCACCCCATGCCTTGAAGGAGAGAAATCCAAGATCCAGGGCAAAACACAGACACTAATCATTCTGGGCTCCCAGCTCTAATGACCCAACCCATCTCCTTTCTCTCTGACCAGTACTATGACGACACGTACCCCAGTGTCAAGGAGCAAAAGGCCTTTGAGAAGAACATTTTCAACAAGACCCATCGGACTGACAGTAGGTCATTTTCCTTTCACTGCTCCCCGTGTTGGGGGAACCATGGCGGGCAGGGGGTGGCAGCAGGGCTGCAGAGAAAGGATAAAATGACTGCCTCCTTTTTCTTTGTCTTCCTCCTCCCCTCATATAATAAACTCTTCGGAATGTAATGGGGAGGTGAGTGTACCTCACGCGGGAATACCGTGCTGGAAGGTTGGCTGTTAGCTACCTGTCTAGTCCCTGGATTTATGAGCCTCACTTGACAAATTTAACTGCAGCTCTGCTTATTGTACCGCATCCATTAGGGCAGGTAAATGGAAGTCTGTAAAGGTGACCGCTCTGCATTTTCACCTCCGAAGGATCGACTAGTATCCTGTCTCATATACAAGGCGGGAAATAAGGGTAGTTGGTAGGGAGGTGGTTAGAGGAGAAGATACACTTCAATTTCCCCAAGTTTGTACTTCCCTTCTTTTGCTACCATGGGGAAGAAAAAAGCAGGTCAACTTTGGTCTTTGGGCGTTACTTCAGCCCAAACAGCTGGATGCCCAGAGTTCATGGTAACTCCTTCTATCCTACTTTCTTATCTCAGGCTATCCACTGTTTCCACCTTTCCTTCTCCCACCCCCAGGTGAAATCGCCCTCCTGGAAGGCCTGACAGTGGTATACAAAAGCAGTATCGATCTCTATTTCTATGTGATTGGCAGCTCCTATGAAAATGAGGTGAGAATTCCACCCCTCTTTGCTATCTCTGATCCCAGTTTCTAAGCCATAAGCAGGGCATAGTATGGCGTCGGGACCCTAGAAGTGCCCCGTCCCTCTGGCTTCTGACTGGGCTAATGAAGTTGTCAGAGATCTCTGCTGACCTCCAAACATGGCCTAGCAAACAAATCAACCTAGAGTGGAAATTTTCACTAATTGCTTTTTTCTTTTGTCTTTTTTTTTTTTTAAGATTTTATTTATTTATTTGACAGATAGAGATCACAAGTAGGCAGAGAGAGAGACAGAGAGAGAGGAGGAAGCAGGCTCCCTGCCGAGCAGAGAGCCCGATGTGGGGCTCTATCCCAGGACCCAGGGATCATGACCCGAGCTGAAGGCAGAGGCTTTAACCCACTGAGCCACCCAGGCACCCCTCCTTTGTCTTTTTTTAAGTTTTATTTATTTGAGTGATCTCTATAAACAACATGAGGCTCGAACTCACAACCCTGAGATCAGGAGTTGCATGGTCCTCGGACTGAGCTAGTCAGGTGCCCCCTGAAATTGCTCTTGCTCTTTTATCTCCATGTAGGAGACACCATATGTATTTTAATACATACTAACATGTATCAGTGGCCTTCGCTGTATAGTGTTTTTAAAGATGGATTTCTTTGTTCTTTCTTTCTTTTTTTTTTTTTTTAAAGATTTTATTGAGAGAGGGGCGCTTGGGTGGCTCAGTGGGTTAAAGCCTCTGCCTTTGGCTCAGGTCATCATCCCAGGGTACTGGGATCGAGCCCCACATTGGGCTCTCTGGTCAGCAGGGAACCTGCTTCCTCCTCTCTCTCTGCCTGCCTCTCTGCCCACTTGTGATCTCTGTCTGTCAAATAAGTAAATAAAATCTTAAAAAAAAAAAAAAAGATTTTATTGAGAGAGAATATGCATTCATGCACACATGATGGGGGGCGGCAGGGTCGGGTGGGGGCAGAGGGAAAGAGAGAGAATTTCCAGTAGACCCTGTGCTGAGTGTGGAGCCTGACACAGGGCTTGATCTCACGACCCTGAGATCATGACCTGAGCCAAAACTGAGTCGAACACTGAGCCACCTAGGCATCCCTTATAGATGGATTCCTGAGGTTTGGTCAGGGTTGGGGGGGATGCTTCCTCCGGCTATGAAGGGTCCATACCTGACTGAGTTTGGGTCAGTTATCAACATTTGGGGTCATGTTGAAGCTACACATTCTGAATGGATCAGCCTGAGAAGCCTGTGGGTATAGTCCTAACCTGTTTCCTATGCACAGGAAAAGCTACTTACCTCAAGTAGCAACATCTAGGAGAAAAGATAAGTAAAAATAGGCCCCCACATAACTTGAAGCAAAAGTAAATGTTTGAGAGAACCAGTTCTTTTGAAGCTCTTATTACTTTAAATCTTTTGTAAGGTGCATTGTTACCTAAATCTTACAGCCCTTCTGTGAGTTGTGGGCATTAGTGCCCTTGTTTTGTAGTTGAGGAAACCAAACCATGAGGAACGATATGAAATTACTTGCATATGACCACTGTTGAACTACAGAAGTGGCAGTTTCTTATGGTTCAGCCTAATAACTTTTCCAGGGTCACACATCTAGAAATGGCTCAGCTGGGATTTAGCCCAAATCTGTCTGATGCCAAAGGCCATGCTCTTTCCACTAACCCTCTGGCCTTAGCTATTGTTTGGCTAATGATTTCTTTCTTTTTTTTTTTTTTTAAAGATTTTATTTATTTATTTGAGAGAGAGACAGTGAGAGAGAGCATGAGCGAGGAGAAGGTCAGAGAGAGAAGCAGACTCCCCGCGTAGCCGGGAGCCCGATGCAGGACTCGATCCCGGGACTCCAGGATCATGACCTGAGCCGAAGGCAGTCGTCCAACCAACTGAGCCACCCAGGCGTCCCGGCTAATGATTTCTTTGCCTAAGATACCAAGTAACACATACACAGTTGGCAAAGACATGTAGAGGACTGTGATAGGAAAGTTTTGAACAGTCTGGTCAAAGAGAGACCTCGAATTGTGGGATTGTGTAGCCGAATTTATTTCTGTGAGAAACCACAGGTCCTCTTCCTGTTTTGCTCTCACTTCCACCTTATGCTTTTGGTCTTTTATGAAAGCCTGTGTATTTTGATGCTTAATGAATTAGTGGGTTTTGTGTTCAGGTAACAGTTTTCAGGGCCTTGAACCTTATCCTTCTGCTTCTTCTGTTTCCCAACAGCTGATGCTCATGGCTGTTCTGAATTGCCTCTTTGACTCATTGAGCCAGATGCTGAGGTGAGTAGGCCATTCTTGACATCTGTTTGGGAGATAAAGTCACTATTCATCAGGCCCAGGGGTTTGTGGGGGGAATTAGCAGAGGCTCCAGGGAACTGATTTACCTTGAGAAGTTAGGCTTATTATTTCAGAGTAATTCGCACTGATAGGGGAGACTGGATGGAAAGTACTTCCCTCCTGTGGGATAATTCTCCTAAGAAAGGGGACTGGGCAGGAGCAATGTCTCTCTACTCTCATTATCCAGTGGCTCTTTCAGAGTTCTGAGCACTGGTAAGGTGCTTTCCTAGACTTCATTAGAAGGTAGGAAAGGGCAAGCATAGGAAAATGTCCCAGATGTAACATTAGTGCCTTGGGAATGGAGGTAACATTCTCAGTTTTTAACTTTAGCTCATAGGTTTTCCCTTCTTTTTTTTTTTTTTTTTTTTAAAAGATTTTTTTATTTATTCATTTGACAGATAGAGATCACAAGTAGGTAGAGAGACAGGCAGAGAGAGAGGAGGAAGCAGGCTCCCCGCTGAGCAGAGAGCCCGATGCGGGGCTCGATCCCAGGACCCTGGGATCATGACCTGAGCCGAAGGCAGAGGCTTTAACCCACTGAGCCACCCAGGCGCCCCAGGTTTTCCCTTCTTTAGAACAGAAAGAATATGCCATTTTCCCCCTCCTCCCTTTCCACCTTCCTAGCAGCCCTGTTTCCCACTAGATGGGCAGCCCTGTTTCCCACTAGATGGGCAACAGAAGAGATATAAGATACTTTTCCTGAAAACATAAAGGAGTCTGAACTTCATTCCCCCAGCAGCTCCCAAGTGAACCCAGTACAGACAGCCATCCGCCATCCGGAGCAGAACAGCAGGCGCTCTCAGCCCCACAAAATCAGCAGGGCGAATGGCTCAGATTTCCTCAGGAAGGGGATGATTTATTTCTTAGCCAGGTGAATGAATAGACTTCATTTCGGTGATCTAGTGAAAGAGTCAAACTGACGGATGTGACTGGCCACGTGCACAACCACCGGATCTAAGGCTGGTGGATGAGGGCCCTGACTGTTCCCAGCCCTCTAGTTGGGCTTCTTTTCAAGGCCTGAGAAGAGCTGGTGAGGGAGTGGGAGAAGGGGGGGAGCGGAGAGAGGCTTAGAAGGTTTGTCAGAGCTTAAGTGCAAAGAGAATTTGCACTCAACTCCTCTCCACGTCCTGCCAACTCCAGATTGAGTTTAGCTGTTTGTTTTCTTTTTTCCACTCACTGATGTCCGTGTTCATGAGCAGTGTCAGTAGCTGTATTACGGTAGGTAGGGAAGAAACTAGCTCTGGATAATCAACTCTTGAATAGTCAGAAATTGCCTGTATTTTTTTAATCTCTTTCCTGACATTCCTGATACTTATTCAGTAACCAAGAGTAAGAAGAGGTTTAGAGTGGATAAGCCAAAAAGTACTTATTTACTTTTTAGTGTGTGTGGCTGGTGCAGATATTTTATTGGTCTAGTTTTGGATCTCCAACTCAGACAATGTCCTAGGATTCCTTTTATACACGGGCTGATTTTTTCTCTTCTCTTGGGGACTCAGGAAAAATGTAGAAAAGCGAGCTCTGCTGGAGAACATGGAAGGGCTCTTCTTGGCTGTGGATGAAATCGTAGATGGAGGGTGAGTTTTCTGACCTGCCTGGACCTCCTTGGATTTCCGGTACGGGAGTGGGATAATTGCCTCTGTCCTAAGGCGAGTGGCCTGAGTGACCAGAATATCCCCACAATGAAGGAGTTTGTCTTTGAGGACAGAGTGAATGATGGTTTCTTCTTTGTCTTAGGGTGATCCTAGAGAGTGATCCCCAGCAAGTGGTACACCGGGTGGCATTAAGGGTAAGCAGGAGTGTGCTCCCCTACATCCCCCATCTACTCACCCTCCAGGGCCATACCTGCTAAACGCATCTAAAGGTCAGGGCTTATAGAATACACAGAGCCTTCCCCTTCCCTTTCAAATTCTCGTTGTCTCAAAGAGGAGCAGCAGAAGGAGCATACTTTTGCCCCTTACTTGGTACCTAGCATCCCATATAGTCTTTGCACAGAGGGGACATTTAATACATACTTAATTGAATCAAAGATGAATAAAAGGGGCACCTGGGTGGCTCGGGGCACCTGGGTGGCTCAGTGTGTTAAAGCCTCTGCCTTCAGCTCAGGTCATGATCCCAGGGTCCTGGGATCGAGCCCCACATCGGGCTCTCTGCTCAGCAGGGAGCCTGTTTCCCCGGCTCTCTCTCTTCCTGCCTCTCTGCTTACTTGTGATCTGTCAAATAAATAAATAAAATCTTAAAAAACAAAAAAGGATGAATAAAAGAAACTTTAACATTAATGGTTCTGAAACTATAAAGTAACTCGAGGTTGGTTAATACTTCCTTTGGGGATGGATCCCAATCTGGTGAGTCAGGGGAGTGTCTTCCTTGTCTTAAAGTCTGAGGACACCACCTCTCTCTCAGGAAGCATTTATTTGCGAGAACTTTAGTCCTCTTTTGACGGTAGTAATATCAGAAAGGGGCCTCTGAGTTAACCATAGATGCCTCCAAGTCTGCTAGGGAGATAATGGTGGGTATAGAGAGAACCCATCGGCAAATTGTGGGGTGCAGAGATGTTTAAGCAAAGCAAATCTCCCCATTCATAGAATGTCCCAGCTCTGACCTCCACAGAGTGAAGGCTGACAGTGTCGGGTAATGGAAAATCTTCTCCCTTAACTGCCTTGGGCTCCATTTGCATAGTTTAATCTTCTCCTCTAACATATGTCTCTATGTGGCAAGAGAGAGGGTCCCCCCCCCCCACCCACTCCCGCCTTCCCCTTCTCAGGCTGCTGTTGCAGCAGTTTATTTCTTCAAATTAACATGCTGTCGTTACCCATCAGGCCTTGCGGGATCCATTAAATTACCCCTGGCTCCCCCTCATCCTTTCCCTAGTGATATTGATATTCAGGGAAGGTCTTCTCTGACTAGGGAATCAGGTCCCCCACCCCCAAGTTGAGGATCAGATAACCTGCTGATTACTTGGAATGGAATAAATCTTTTAAGAAGTCCAACTGCCTTAAAACAGAGGATGGATGAAATGACCCTTTTCTGCTCACAGTCTCTCTGGCCAAGAAAATTGTGACTGTACTACCTAGAAGGGACTGAGAAGTCAGGCATCTGCGTTTTGCTTCAGTTTAAAGGACCACTTTTTCCTTCTGCACTACTGACTTCAGTCCGGTCTTATCCCACCTTCCTCTCATGCTAAATGTTTGTGTCTCTGTGTCATAGGGCGAAGATGTCCCCCTTACGGAGCAGACAGTGTCTCAGGTATGTCTTTCTCTCCACATGGACTGGACCAGTAAAGAGGCTAGATTAGCATTCCACCCCAGCCCAAGTTTGAATGAGTCTAGAGACTGAAGGCATATTTTTCTTGGCTCTAGTCCCCAGAGAATTGGGGACTCATACAGCCAAACACTCCCTACCCACCCAACTCCTATCCCATGTTCCTGTGAGCAGTGGCTGTCACTGTACCCTTCAAACCCTCCCTGTCTGATGCCTCATTCAGTGATTTACTCCCCAGCAGAGGCTTGCCTTAAGCAGATGGTCTGTGTGTGTGCACGCACACGCATGCACACACACACTCTCTCTCTCTCTCTCTCTCTCTCTTTCTCTCATTATTCAAATGAGGGCTAGGCTGGAAATGCATATTCTAGAGTAAAGCAGGTTTTACAGATCTATCCTGCTACTTTGTGGATAGCTTGTCTACCTGATGTGGGAGGCAAGGGAGGGATTCTGTTTTCTCTCTACTTGGAATTCTCACCAAGAAGTCCATCTGGATGTGGTAACTCCTCCTTTCTAACATATGGCCAGTAACCCCCAGTTTTTTTCTCTCCTCCCAGGTATACCTCTTCTCTCTTCATCCCCTCAGTGGATTTGAATTTGTTTGGAATTTCCCAAACTGACAATCCTCTAGGGCCCTAGAGAGCTTCTTCCCATCCCTCTATCCTTGGGGATTTTGTATTTGCCATTCTTCTAAGGACAGGGAAGGCAAGTGAGGGGAAGGAGAGCCCCAATCTCTGTCCTTGCCCTGCCCCCCAGCAAGCCCCTCAACTGCCGCCCTTGTCCCTGCAGGTGCTGCAGTCAGCCAAAGAACAGATCAAGTGGTCACTCCTTCGGTGAAGACCTCATTGTTCCTGGCTCCTCACCCCCTCAAAAAATCCACACGTCTGCTGTGACTTCTCATCCAGTCCCCCAACTGATGCTCTCAGGATCATCTCGGGGATTACAAGGGACCCTTAAATCTCCATTCTGTCTGGTTGCTTCCCCCAAACTCCAATGTATGCTTCCTATCCTTTCTCACTTTTTTGTAGTCTGGGAGTAAAACTCCCAGCAGATTCTAAACGCAGGGTAGGGGAAGCACCCTTTTCCTTTTTACACTGGATTATGCTCTCATACTCTCCTACCCCGCATATTTTCTTCTCAACTTTTGTGCCCTTTGCTGCAGTTACACTTGAGATCAAAGCAGGAGAAAGAATGTGCTGAGCGTTTTCCTCCCTTTGCCTTTACTGGGCCTTCATCCCAATAGCCCATATGTTAGCAAGGGGAGGAAGAGAGAGAATTCTTTTCCATAGGATGAATGGGGGTGGCATATCCAGTCTCAAGCTATAGCCCCACTTAATTGGCCTCAGCATTTCCTCCCATCCCTTCTTACTGCCCTGTCCTCCAGCCTTGGAAAAAGGATTGGGAACAGCTCATGGGCTGGGGACAGAATGGAAGAAGCAGGGATTTAAGTTTTATTGGATAGGGCTTATAAAATTCTGTTTTTCAGTCACAGCTGCATTCTTTAGCCTGATCCTGGCTTATAGCTTCAAAACAACTGTGGTTTGTGAGTGTTCATTTTAGGAGCGTCCGTCTCCTGGTCCTTGACTCTCCACCTTCCCTACCCATGGGATCTTGGCCTGGTTTGTCCTTGCTGTGCCCTGGAGCAGAGCCAGTCCCTGAACTAAAACTCCATTTTAGTCTTGGGAAGAAGAGTTTTTGCTCAGAACTGGGGAGGCGTGGGATTTATGACTTGGGCCTCTGGGCTGTGTCCCCTTCACTCCCCCACATGCATTTCACTCCTCTGCCCTGGGTCTGCAATCTCTGCCGCCTAACCCTATCTTCTCTCTGCCTCAGCCTTACATCCAGGCAGTAGGTCTGCACTCCTTCCCACCCTAGGTCGCTGAAAGAGGTCCCTTCCCTCAGAAAACCTTTGGGATTTGGATTTCCCCAGGAAGATGGAGGTTGGAACACCCACTCGTGGGTCTAATCTTTCCCCTTGACCGGAAACTTCCCACAAAAATGTCTCAGAAAAACCTTCCTGAGACTTAAGCCTTCTGTCCCACCCACTAACTGCCAGTTCTCCAGGACTGAAGTGGGGTGAATAACTGGGCATATTTGAGGGAGCATTTTTGTGTCCGAGATGTATGGAGTCAGGAGATCGCCACCTTCATATACTGCTCTGTGCAAAGAGGAATAAAACCGATTTCTTTTTCCAAACTGCCTTTGTGTGATGTTTCTGTTCCTCTTCTTCTCTTTTTGGCAGCTGCTTCTATTCCTCCAGCACCCCCCCCATCGCTCCCCATCTTATAATATTTCTTACCTCCTACCTCAGAGACTCCCCAGCATTCCACCCCCCCCATCCCTAATTTACGGGGCTCTTTGCCTCCTTGGCATCCCTCCGTCCCCACGCCTGGAAATTGGCGCCAGGGGTGGGGTGGGGGTGGTATTTTCTCAGTGGGAGTCCCAGGGAACTGAGTGCTCCCCCCACCACCCCAAAGCCAGCTGCCTGCTCCCGCCTCAGCCATTAGTAACCCGGAGACGCGCACCTGCGTGGGGGCTCTCCTCAGCCCCTGCTCCCTTCCCGCACCTCCCACTCCTGCTCTGAAATGGCGCTGAGCGGGTTATTTATCGGAGCCAGCGCTGCTCCAGAAGGTCAGGACGGTGGTGTAAATAACCTCTTCTCGCCATTTCCCCGTCCCTCCAGAGCCTGCTCCCCTCCCCCTCCTCCACCTTTATTCGCACAAATGAATGTGGCTGGGCTGGCGCGGAGCCTGGCCCTGCATCTTAATGGGGCGGTGAGCTCACAAGATGGATTTAGCTGGGGGTTTTATGGTTGCCGCGGCGACAGGAGAATGCTTTGGTTTTCTTTCCCCCTTCCTCTGCAGGATTTTCAGGAGGGGGGAGCGTGGGGAGCCCTCCTCTGCACTGCAGTTTTGAAGGGTCTCCTCAGTCACCTCCACAGCTCCTAAGATGGGCCTGCAATTCCAGGAGTAAGCAGGAGACCACATTAGGACCTCAGGAAAGGATGAGGGAAGGAAGGTAAAAGGAGTGGGAAGAGCCTCTCCAGCATGGAGACATGAAACCGAGTTGTCCAGTCTTGCCTGCTGTATGAGAACCTGGCAATTACAGCTCATCAGCTGTGGGGCACCTTGGCCCAGAATCCCCCATCAGCAGGTAGAAAACAAAGAAAATGCTTGGGTTATCAGCCCTGTAGTCCTGTCTTGGAATTTGGGGTACAGGGGGCTGGATGAGGGCTAGGGATCTTTGTTTTTGCCTGTCTGAGATGGGGAAGAGGCAGTGTCCAGCCTTACCGTCTACTTAATACCCAGTACAGATCCTGGCTGGGGAGGGCATGTCAGTGTGAGAGCTGGGGTAGAGGAGGGTGGTGGTGGCTGATCAGTGACCAGGTGGAGAATAGAGTTCTACCCAGTTCTCAAACTTGAAATTCTCTGAGCTTGTTTCCCCAGCCTGCCTGGTTTGAACTTTTCCTGTCTTCTCTGTTTCCCACGAGGAATGCAACTCTGGTGGCCTGTCCTATCCAGACCTTTGGCCAGCAATTTTCTTTCACAACTATGAGCAAACCCTTCTCCAGCACTGACTAAAGCAGAGACTAGGGAGCAGGGTCTGATTATCTCCCTCCATTGGTCTCCGTCTGATTCTGGGCCTCTGGGTCTCTGTTTGTAAGCTTTTCCCTTCTCCCCAGGGGACCCTGGGAAGCCCCCTCCTCCCCTCTCCCCCTTCTTTCCCTTTGGCTGGGAAAGTGACTGGAGCCTGAACAGTGCCAGACACCTGCCTGCCAGATGTGGCGATTCCCCATTCTTTCCCCCTCCCCAAATGTCTATCCTTTACCCACCCCACTGAGCTCAGGCAGAGAGAGCCCCCCACAGAGTGATTTAGTGCTGCAGCCCCTCTTCCTCAAGTGCCCCCCTCCAGCTCCTCTCCCTCCCCCTGGTGCCCAGGGGGCCCCCCTTTTCTTTTCCACTGTGTCCTGCAGATGGCTTCCTGGTACAGCCCCCTCCTACTCCACCCTGGGGTGCCGGCATGTATAAGCCCCAGCTCCTGGGCTGGAGAATGAATGGGTGGAGCAGAGGTGACTGGCCTCTCTTTCACCCATGGGAGAGTACATCAGCAGGGCTAAGGACAGTGGCAGCCAGAGCTGATGTCATTTGCATTGGTGGCTAGGGGAGGTGTTAGGGGAGGAGGAGGCAAGTGGGGAGGGAACCAGCACTCTAAGACTGTCTGCAGAGGAGAAAGGTCTGTGAGACCTCACGTAGGCAAGAGAGCCCAGAACCGTGGCTGCCTGGTGAACATCACATCTTAGTTTCTCTGGCAGGGTCTGCAGATCTTGTTGCTGGTTCTGTGTCTCGCTATGACTCAGGAGATGCCCCTCAGCTCCTCCCATTCAGACTGACCGAAAATACACTTAAAGGGAACCCTTAGTTCTTACCCTCCTCTCCTTAGTGTTTGCTCTTCTGTATCTTTTCTGTCTTCCATTCTTTCATCTTTTCTCCCTTAGTTGAGCTTCTCTGATGGTCATCTGGCTTCCCTGTCCCCCCTTCCATCCCATAACGTAACACAATATAGTCCAAGACCTGCCACCGAAGTAGGGCCTCGTTGAGCCTCTTTTCTCCTTCTCATCCCTCTGAGGCTCTGGGGTGGCAGTTGAGGTACCAGGGAATTGTTGGTCTGAAGAGCAGCAGAGGCAGGACAGGTGGAGAGTTCAAGGAAATAGGAGAGTGGGGAGTAAGATAAAAGCGTAGTGAGAGAGAAAAAGTGACTGAGAGACAAAGAAGCAGAGGTTGGGAGTTAGCAGAAAAGCCAGCCTAATGAACTAGGAGAGTGAGAGAAGCTGACACAAGAAAGAACAGCAAATCTGGGAACAGAAAATAATGGAAAGATGGAGATGGGAAAGTCACAGCAAGAGGAGGAAGCTAGGGACGGCCAGCCCAGGGGCAGGCTGGCTCTCTTGGGCTCCCTCATGCTGATGGGCCATAAATCTTAGATGTATGCATGCATGTGTGTCTGTCTGTCTGTCTCAGTATGTGCATGCACAGCACATTGTGTATGGGTCTGGTGGGGATAAGTTTGATTCTCACAATATTCTCATTCCTTCCTTGAAGCACCCCACACCAATCCCCACCCCCCATTATTTCTGATTTCCTGGGGGGTCATTCCCAAGGTACTTCTACATCGTAAGAATCCTGACTTGCTTACTCGGAATGCTGGCCTGCTGGAATGTGCAGTCAGGATCTGTAGAATCAAGAGAAGAGGCCCCATCCCTTCACTGCCCACCCCCAGTGCCTGCTCACCAGCTGCTCCTGTCCATCTTCTCCTCCCACTTTCCTTGTGTCTCTCCTCGCTCCACGCTGACCCCTCCCCCAGCCTCTGACCCCCAGCGCCTGGGGCCCAGGGTTGGAGGGAGAGACAAAGACAGGATTTATCATCAGGACAGAGAAGCAGCCAGAGACCAGGGCTGAGGGCAATGGCTGACCTCCTTGGGATGGGAGGGAGTGCTTGGCCAGATGCTGGGAGGCTGGGAGCCTGGGTTCTAATGGCTCTGGCTCACAACCTCCAACTTCTCTCACTCCGGTCTTGCTCTCTCTGTGGACCCTGAAGACTTAGGAAACAGAGAGAGGATGGCCTTGAGGTGATTTTAGGCCTCTGAACGAAAACCTGGGAAGAGGGAAGAGAGGGTCTTTATCTTTTTTTTTTTTTTAAAGATTTTATTTATTTATTTGACAGAGAGAGAGATCACAAGTAGGCAGAGAGGCAGGCAGAGAGACAGGAGGAAGCAGGCTTCCCGCGGAGCAGAGAAGCCGATGTGGGGCTCGATCCCAGGACCCTGGGATCATGACCTGAGCCGAAGGCAGAGGCTTAACCCACTGAGCCACCCAGGCGCCCTGAGAGGGTCTTTATCTTATGGATACTGAGGAGGATTGGGAAACCAGGGAGCAATCAGGCAGCAGTTTCCAGGACCAGCAAGGAGTTCAGGTTTAGCATGGCAACTAATGAGACAGAGAGGGACTTCCTTTAATATAGAAGGACTTGTCCAAAATAGGCCCTGACTGCCAGTAGAGAGAGAGAAATGTCATTGTGGGTCCTGAAAGACTTGCTTGAACCTAAGGAGGACACAGAATTCCCCAAGGGTTGCTAGTTCCAACACTACTGAGAAGGCCTTCGTCCCTAAAATCCCCAACTGCCTTCTGAGAGGTATGAGGAGCAGCTGGACCCTGCCTTTACAATAAATAGACTATTGGCCCAAAATTGTCTCTACTTAGCAGGTGGGGTATGTGGTCAAGGAGAGGGAACAGTATGATCCAGGAGTTTCCGAGAAACCAAACCGTATATCTTTCTGCGGACAGCTCCTGCATCTTCTCTAGCTGCCCTTGAAGGCCCACTAGCCCCTCTAGCATCTCGGTGTGTCAGAGGGCTCCACAAACCCAACTTTGAATCTCTCACACTCATTCCAGCTCCTGGCACCCAGCATCCTACTTCCTACCTTTACTGTCCTGGGAGGAGGCTGCTGGAGTTACCTCCAAGTGAAAAGAGGGTGGAAGGAAGAGAAACTGAGGCAAATGGGAGCTTCCAGCCTATTGGCTTCACACCACAATTCCACCAACCCATTCCCATCCAGTATTTGGTAAAGGAGAACTTCTTGTGGTTTCCTTCTACAAGCTGAAACTACTACCTCAATTCCTGATGGAAAAGTCGAAAATTGGAAATCTTAGGGGAAAAGGGTCATGGGTTGGGAGAGGACAAAGGAATTGGGGTGGGGATGGCACAGGTTAAGGAAAAAACAGGAAAAGGGAAAAGAGAGCATCTCGTTTTTCCTCGCTCCCCCTTCCCCCAATTGAGAAGACAGATTTACAGCCTTGGTTTGGTGTGTGTGCGGGGGTGAGCATAAGGAAGACAGATCTGCAGTTCTGCCCTCTGAGTGTCTGGGTACTTAGCTTTAACTCCCCCATTAGCATCAATCCCCATCTTGCTGCCCATCCGTCTTCTGACATCAGCTCCTTCCCCTCTCTGTAGCCCAGGCTTTCTGACCCTAAGTGGCTCTTAAAGGGCCAGTCTAGACCCTTCTCTCCCTCCCTTCTCCCACTCCAGGCAGCAGAGTCCAGCGTGTGTACTTGCATGCATGCACTGTGGCCATCCTTGCTAAAGCCATAGTGAATGGAGGGCACAGTGTGTAGGGAGGGGGGCAGCTCTTCTCCAGCTCT